TCTATATAGCCTTTAGGTAAACTAAACATTGCCTATTAGTAAAATAAGTCTTTATTAACTTAAAGATAATAACTAATAAGTAATAACAATATTATTATATATACTATTACAATAATAAATAGTATAATAATTTATTTATATTAGTATTATCTAGACAAATATAATTTATATTAATATAAATTACTGAAATCTACCGTATTGCAGTAAAATATCAATAATAAAGCTCACAATTTAAATTGAACATATCTATTACAGTGACTTAGTCAATGACAATGTACACTGTCTTTAAATTCAGCATTGAGAAAAAACTCCGGGTTTTAAAAAGTAATATTTGTACCCACATTTTATTCATATTAAAAAAGACAAACTACAAAAAAATATCAACAAAATCATACGTATATTTAGTGATGTGTTAAATTTTAATGAATAAAATATTATTGTACGTAGGTATTCAAACTATAAGTATTTTGCTTAAAAAATTAGTTTACGATATTTTAACTAATTAGATTTAAGTAACTATTACGTTTTAATTACATATGAATAGATAATATATGTCTCTTATTCTGTCGAACTGTAATATTTATCCATATTACTTGACTAAGCAAAATTCAAATTTAACCCATGTACCAAAAATGCAAATTTCTCTCTGTCGTTGTTAAGTTGATTATAATTATTTGTAAAATCGTTCAACTTCAGTGAACAGGAAAATGACCTTCAAGGATGGTACTAGGAAATAAGGTTGAGAATGGTATGATTGGGGTTGTTGCAGATTTATAATTATATGTAGAGTATATTATACATAATACATATATAAAGCTTATATTATACTATACTATTTTAATTTTGTCAAATTAATGCAAAATTGTATCATTTATTACTTCAAATAGGTTATATTGTTTACCATACTCATCCGTTTAGTTTGCTCAGCCATGTACATATTATTTTTGTTTCGTTATATTAGTAGGTTGCAACAAAATAATTAAAATGTGTGGTTCAGGTGGTAGTAGGGGTGATTTAGAAAAGATAAAGATAGTAAAATATATTTCTATACCTATATTATACAACATTTTATGATTTATTTAATAATTTTTTTTTTAAATGTACGTCTCCAGGTCGATTATAGCTAATCTAGATTAAAAAGTACATTATCGATCTTCATAATTGCCTAAAATGATTGAATTATGTAATGATATTCTTTTGTCATTTGTTGTAGAATATTTTGAAGAATTTATTAACATTCCCCCACCGGGTGAAGTTCGTTCAATTATTGAAAGTGTTGGTGGTTATTGACTTGCGACTGCTATACAATAACAGCTAGTATAATAGAAACCTTTTTAGTTGAGTGACATTTAACACAAAAAAAGAAATAAAAAATATTTCACTTTTACTTATTTAAAATACTTAAATACGGGACAATCTTTTAGGATTGAAATTGATGAGTTATTTTTTTTTAATTCTTTATTTCGTTTTTAGTTATAAATTTTCGTTATATTTTAACTCAATAAACTACTATATTTAAGACAGATTTTTAATATTCAGCTAAGAACTAAAAAGTATAATTAATTTTTGTAATTAAATATGAAAGTTAAGATTTTTTCACGTGTAGGCATGTGCAGAATTTCGGTACATTCGGAGCCTGGGCATATTTCTCACTTGACCTGGCTTGTATTGTATACAAAATATTTTAATAAATAGTGACATTTTATTACTTTTATTGATTTTCAGTACATTTTGAGTTTTTATTTAAAGCATATTTTTTGATTTTTGTAATATTTTTAATATTTTCAAAGTTTTTACGTTTTTGTAACTGCAACCCATAATTATTATTTCATATTCTGATGTAATAAAATTGTTGTGAATTTGACGAAGTTTATTAGGTAGGTACCCCTAAATCCTTTCAAAATCATGAAAATGTACCTATCTTTAATAATTTTAAATAGCTAGAATAACAATAACAATGTAAGACAGAATTTGTATTCGATTTTCAAGTTTTTTGGCCGATCGAAAAATAAATAGAAGAAAAACTAAAATAAAATTTAAAATGTCAAACGTCTATAAATATATCAAAAAGTGAGGTCAAGACATTTATTTTTTAAATGTACATCACTTTTTAAAAAATACTGTAAATAAATAAGTAAATACTGTGATTATAAAGTGCTTCGACGTTTCAAATAGCTTATTTATTGATTAGAAATATGATACATATTTTAAACTAAATGGATTATGACTGAATATTTTCAGTAAAAGGATATAATTTGATTATTTTCCCAAGTTACTGCTGTTAAATAACTAAGTACATATTATAATATTAATGTATGCAGTGTTTTTATGGAATTTGAACACACAACATTTTTATACCACTAGTATAATTACTACGTTATTTATATATTACAAGAATTTTAAATTTAATGCAGCCATTATGTTGGTTTTCCAATTTTTTTTAACTCAGAGCAAAACTTTAATATATTTTGTTAATTTATAACACGTTTCAATAGGTATTAACAAAATAAATTTGTTATATCAAATTATCACTACACTGAGTGATATAGCCGTTTTCATATTTCATACTGGACGGTGACATTTAATTAAAATCAAACATTTGGATTTTGGAATGTTTGAGTATTCATGAGTTAAAGTGATTTGTGCGGCCAAGCTGAAGGGACGATTAAACTTAATCATCATCATGACAACAATGATTCTAAAATTTAATTCACATCAATGAACAACTGAATTGTAGGTAGGTAAACCCACAGTTTATTGGTTTAGTTTGGTGTGATATTCTGATACGTAAACATATTCATTAATATTTTATCTGGACTTAATTTTTCAATACGTATTTGAGTTAGTCAATTTCATAGGCACCTCGCACCTATACAATATAAATCAATAATAAATCTTAATATACAAAAGTTAAAGTAGGTACATCTACATGTTTTCAAATAATAGGAAGAAATTACAATAAAACGTGTTTCTTTGGAAGCTTACTAAATTTTGACACAGTTCGTAAAAATCACGAAAATTTGCAAATTATTTCGAGTTAGAAATTCATAAAAATTGCTGTTTTTATATTTAAGATTTTAAAATATAAGAAGACAAGATTTAGAGAGTTACGAGAATTACATGGTTCCTTATAAGTTTGTCTAAATTTATTAAAAAAAATTTCAAAAGTCAAATTACATTTTTATGAAATTGACATTTTTACATCATTAGATTTTCAATTTGTTATTCAAAAACGAACTACTGCAGGTAGTTTAGATCAACATCATAATTTTATTTTACTAGTTCATATACTGCATTTTCAAAATATTTTTACTTTGAGCTGTTAACCTTTTTGAGCATTTAAATTGTCTTTTATAAATGTCGATAAAATTGTATTTGTTGTATCAAAAAGAGTGATAATTCGATAAAAGGTTACTGAAATATTGTTGTATCAGTTGAAAAATATTAAAAATATTTAGGTATGAATTTTGTTATAAGTATTTGAAGTTCAAATTTAAAAAAAATTTATATTTTAAAAATAAAACTTAAAACGAGGTTCCACCTCAGTAGGTTGATTTGCAAGCAGAATCATTAAAATAATTAGGAAAAAATAGGAAAAAATAACAAAACTCAGATAAAAACAATATTATTTCCTCAACACTAGTTTTTGACAAAATCGATTTTGTTTTTTGTTGTTAATTGTAATTCATTCAAAAAAGAAAAACTTTGGATACTTGAGATTTTCACCAAGTATTTATACTCGAAATTTTTAGACAACAGAGCGACTTCCTATTTTGTTTTTTATTTAACTTGTAACTATTTCAAATTAATAAAAATAGGTATTGGCGTAGTAGCCTTAACATTATCATTAAAAAAAAAAATTTGTAGGATATAGAAAAAAAATTAACTTGTAAAAATGTAATTTAATTACTTTTATTTAGTTATTATTAACTGTCACTGTTTTATATTGACCTGTTTATATGTAGGTGATATTTGTATGTTACATTTTTAATTTCCAATCTATATTCAACTTTCATCAGTATAGTATACAAGCAGTTAAATCGCACTATAAATAGGGGTCCGATAAAAATAACGCATCAAAATGGTTTTATATTCTATTTGAAATATTAAACGTACAGTTTTTATAATGTAAAAACGTACAAATAAATAAAAGTGTAAATATCAAAACCTATGTTACAAAACTAAAAACCAATATTGACTTCGTAGTTTTATTTCATACTGAACTTTTTAGAGTGCATTTAAATTGTAATAAAATTGAGGAAATCTATATAAAAGTTACATTATTCGAAAGGAAAACAATTACCATATAAAAGAAATTGTATCTGTCTATAATAATATTAATATACCTTTTTTTGTCAGTCAATAATAAAAATGTAACATGATAAATATTTTATGATAGGTATATTATTTGTACTACACTATTAACTGATGAAATTATAGTATTGCAAATTAATTATATTTTTAATAAATGCACAAACTCAAAAAGTTATAATTTTCGTGATCAAATAGAACATAATAATTGCATTATGCATATTCAATGATACTACGGTAAAAATAGAGTGAATGTAGCTTGGTATAACAACAATCAGTTTGCTTGGGTAGTAATTTTTGTATCAATTTATATTATTTATAATAGGGATAAATATGAACTATATAATATATATTGTACTCTAAGCTTTATAATAACTTACATCGGTAAAAACATATTTTTCTTAATCATGTAATACAATATTTAAGAAAAACATCATTTTTTGTTGTATTGATTTTAAATTTTGGTTTAATATAGTAGGTGCCTAATTAATAATAATTATTATAATACATATATGTTTATATTATGTGTATAATTCATGATTCATGGAAGGTTTCTTAAACGAGCTTGTTGCTCGAACAGTTCATCAAATTACCGTTAGATAGAACAAAAATAATCAATAAAATGCGTAGCTGCGTACGTCAAATCCAAACGTTTACATTATAGTAGGTACCTCATCTGAAGTTTGCACATTTTCGGCGCTCAGTGTACTCCCAGACACGTTGATCGGCAGACCTCTGTGAACACAAAGTCTACGTTAAATTTTCGAAAAACAACGTTACGTAACCACAAATACGTACTTTGAAGTTTTCAATTTTTTATTTCACTCGTTTAAGTTTCAACAGAAAATAACCATGAAAATAGACGTAGCGAAATTAATAATTGAAGTCAGCAAACATCCAGAGATCTACAACCCAGATCATAAGGATTTTTCTAATAAAGAAATAAGAAACAAAATTTTCAATACCGTCATCAAAAAAGATATGAATGGTATAAATGGTGAGTAACATATTTTTTACTTGTTAAACGTAATGGCCAATTGTATTATATTATTAATTCATAATTATTATAAGGCTCAGGAGTAGATGGGTACCTACATAATATTAAATTAATACCTTACAAATATGCATTTGTTTCTGACTTTATAATGAAGCGTCTTTAACAGTTATTTCAAAAATGTTAAGAATTTTTTTTTAAATATTGTTTGAAATACAAAAAAGTAGTATATAATTTTCAATAATTGCCTACCTACTTTATTGACATTGTGAAAATAATAAAATACATTTTATATTTTGACACCAATAGAATAAATTATAATACTTACGAAATAATAGATGAACAATTATGTTGTGTGATCAATTGATCAAAATATATCGATCACGTATTTTTAAAAATTAAAATCCAACTTACTGCAGTTGTGAGCTATTACTTTAAATATGTTTCTTATCTAGTCTTTTTTAGGGCCATTATGTAAAAATTTACAAATGTTTAAATTTTCTAGCCCTAAATTCTAATGGATAAAATTATTTAAATTATTTTGAAAATAATACTTCATCTGATTTTAATTACCTTTTGAGTATAATAACTAATTTAGTACCGCTCTTATAATTTCGTTATTGCTGCATCATAATTAATCAAACTTGAAACTATAAAAAAATTGCCTAGCCTTTCTTAAATGCCATATTACAAGTACATGTCATATAAAAATTATCATACGAAAAATATGTAGCAACTAATATCTGTATAATTGAAGTACAATAATATAATAATATTTTCAATGCAGTGTTTCTGATATTAAAATATCCATACAATATTTATTATGGTGTTAAAGAGCTATTTTTACTTAGTCATTATAACTGTAGATAATTCGATATTGTAATCATTCAACACTCACAATATATATTTTCTACTTTAGCCTAAAACTACATGTTATATTATGTAAGTACGTACAAAAAACAACCAGAAAGCCTGGCTCTGCTGTACGTCTCGAGTGTATCTCATCATTCAGTAGGTCACTGTGATAAGACGTGTAAGGTGAAGTAACTTTATGTGCTATGCACTTTATAGTTTATACCGATGTATTAAATTATTTATTAATATTAAAATTTGTGTTTTATATTTAATGACCTTGATGACTACCTGTTAGTTTAATTGGAATTGACACCCCCAAAAATTTCTTGGAGGAATATTCCCGGGAATACAAAAACTGTGAAAAATTACAATTTTATTTAGTAATAGGTATTACATTTTGTTATTATGGACAGTCATATACTCACATTTCTTGATTTATGTATTTTAACAAAAGTATAATTATATTATTTTATAAATTACTAGCTGTAGGTATTACCCGACTTAACCAACCAGGTTGAAATTGATATAATCTATCTTACTATTGTTTTCCGTTTTGCTTCAGTTGAAACACAAATACAAATAAAATATAATATGATTCATTTTGTGATATTACACTTCTTAATTCTGAACATATTTTTGATGTTAAAGCAAAAAAATTGGACAAAGTTTCAACGAATTTTTAAAAGCTGACGTAAATCCAATATCGTTAAGATAGATATTTGTCTTATGGGTTTGCATAAAAAATATGTCTAGGATTAAAAGAAAAATCATAAAAACAATTCATAAAAGTAATAATAGAAATTTTGTTCAGAAGTATTTGGTTTTAACCCGTGACCAATGGCGTGGTAAAAATTTACTACAGTCAACTTAATAATATGCTCCTAAAATTGTTATTGGGTTTCTAAAGTAATTACAAGCTATATTTACACGATTACACAGGCCACGAGTGTATGAATACCTTATACCCACCTATTATAATAGTAAATTATTTATTATTACCACTAACTTGTAAGTAAAAGATAAAATGGTGTAAATATTTCCGATGTATAAATAGTTAAAATTTGTCTAAATATTTAAAAAATTCATTCTTTGTACTGATAGAAAATGATAATTGAAGTAATAATAAAAGGCATCAAATTTCTACTATTATTATTTTTTGAATTACTACAACACGTCAAAAATCAATTGAGCAGATGTCCATATTGAATATATATTATATTTATTATATTAAATGATGTGATGAATAATAAAAATGCATAAAATGTTTTTTTTTACAAATTGTTCAAATGCTGATTGTAAGTTATTAAAAATTATACTTATAACATTTTTAGTTGAACAATTTTCATTAAATACAGATGAATAGTTATTTTACATAATGACATAATGTACACAAAAAAAACCTGACAAATTTATAAATAAATTACAATAATGAAAATAAAGGTAGTAAAACATCGTAATTTTAATCAAAGATATACATTATTGCTTCTAAAATGTCAATAGCACTTCTATGGATTTTTTCTCACAATACGTCCAAAATAATTGACATTTTTACATAATATTATTAAAGTCCATTATTATATAGATGGGTAGCTACCATATTTTATACTTGTTACAAAAACGTATTTAATATATAATAGGTAGGTATTTAAATAAAAAATATTAAATTAGATTTTTGTATTGTTATTACCAGGGCTGTGAATTAAATAAATTCGCATGGTTTTTTTGTCATTTCAAAGAAACAACAATTATTATGTCTGATCAAAATTTGTTTTACATTACTACACTTAGTACTAAATATTAAAAAGCATAATGGGGAACATGTTTATTGTTCAACTTTGGCCAAGATGAGTATCAGCATGCAATAGATATTACCTATTAGGTAAGGTGGGACTGCTGTATTTCTCCGTAGTCACTAGTCAGGGATAATGACAATCGTTGGTAATAAAACAGTTTTGGACGTGTTCGTATACTGCATGGGAAATGTACGTAAACTAGTTAGATAATTTTTATTAATAAATTACTGATAACTGATTAATATGATACAAGATCAGTGTTTTTAAATTAAATAATGGTCGCCTCTCAATGACTTCGGCAGGCGCCTACCTATTTGATGAAAATATCAACACATACTTTTCTAATATATTATGTATTCACTGGTGTATTGTAATTTCGTTTTAATATTATTAATAATGTATGAAGTATCCAATTGTTTGGATTCGATTGAAAATAATTAGTCTACTACATGGAAGTGTAGTAATGACACTGAGCCATGCGTAGAGTACCTATATCGTAGAGTTTGATAGTTATAATTCTGGTTATGTTAGACACAAAATTAGTTTATATTTAAAAAAACGAATAAATAATAATACAGAAAATGCAATAGCGTTTAACCGTTTATTATAAATTTTGTTTTCAACCATATTGTTATCTAAGGTTTCAGTAACTAGATATTTTATTAACTTAATACTTTATTTAATTTAATTTTAAAACGTATCGAGAACCTTCAATATTAAAATTAATTCGTACATTTTTCAACAAAACGAAATCAATAACTTAGGTATTACATTTATTTTAATGACATTTTTTTCCTACTTGTAATCTAATTAGTAATTATAATAGGTAATTAGGTATCACCTATTCTAAAATATACACTTGATTGTAGTCTGTATAGGTACCTACGTACCAAATAATTTCGTTTGTATAGTGGATACAAAATAATCAACTATTTAATTTTAATTAATTAAATTAAATTATTGGTTCTTATTTAATAATGATTTTATAGATATTGCCTACGTAATTATACTTTATAACAACAGAATTAGATGTATTTGCATTAAACAATACTAGGTACCTATATTAGATTCTTTACTAAAATTACAAAGGTAATTGGAAATTGTATTCAAATTTATTTTGAATTGTATTGAATTGACTACCTATTTGGCCTCTAATTGGGCTATCGCTGGTAAGACTATAAATATTTAAGCAATACAATTTAATTCACAACAATTTCATTCCTCAATTTCATTCCTTATAGCAACCCTCAGTTTATAGGTAATTCATCAATCAAAAGGTAATCCTTTCGATTTCAGATAGGTTAATGGAGATTAGAGGGGAGAAAGGTTGTTTATTTAACTTTTATATAGGTATATACGGTATACCTGTAGCATGGTAGACGATAGAATTATAGTGAATGAGATTGTATTACATTATTTGGACTTTTCTACGGGCTTTATTAAATTTGGACATTATTTAACATTTTACATCATTCAACATAACGAAAAATCTTTTGACCTTATTTAAATCGGACTTCAATTCAAATTAGATATACATCCGTTGGACAAAAATCAATAGATCTTTCGGGGTTAAGTAGTTGGTTTGGATGAAATATTTTGAATTAATGTGTTTTGAGTTTTTGACTCTTAGCATTTGTCATACTATACTTGAAATCATATTAACATAATATCATTTATGACTGGATAATTAAAATTTAATTCTTAGGCTGCAAGTTGAATAGTGAAATATTTTAAGCCTTGGTTTTCTTGTATTTAACTGCACATTAAAATATAATTACATCAATATTAATGTTATCAATCACCTAACAAAACTACCTATATTATAACCACAATAATATTTTGGATAATGAATCATTAATTTTATTCATAACTCGTATGACATGACATTGTTTTCATAAACTCGCTGGTACCAAATATATTATTTTTATATTTAGGTAGTTACTATATTATAGCTTACTACATACACCATTTAAATAAGAACAACCCACCCACGCATTTTGTGTAGAACTGCACGTTATGGTAAACCCTGTTCGAATATAGGTATTTTATTTAGTAGGTTTATTAATAGTAGGTAGATTATTATTAAGCATTTGCCATTTGCATCAAAAAAACATCAACTCGGTTAAACTTTTAAGTAAATCAATTTCACATAGCGACCACACTACCGCAGACTATGAATATATTATTAAATAGGCTAAATATTATGTTCATGCGCATCGTTTGATACATGTTATATTATATATACATATCGTGTATAGTATATATTAGATATGTATTAGTGTAAGACTAAGAACTATCTTTATACATTATTTACCTATGATACGCGTACAATAATTGTAAAAGAATATTTCTATATTTCTTTTGTACCTACATTTAAAAACGAAACCGTGATGAAACTCGCTGAATTCTCCCCACTATGAGTACACCGCTGCGATGAATTCCCTTTAAAATATTTCAATAAATACCGAAACACGCCTAATTATTAATCAATAGTATAATAAAACGGTGTAACAATAATTAACTTTAATAGAAAACGTGCAATCCTCAAACATTGAAAGCTAAATTTGTTTTATAGAGATTTAAATTTTGCATATCAATTGGAATTGTTTTACAATTGTTAAAGGTAGTTTAAAACTGTAGAAGTTACCTACCGAGATATGTAGTAGGTAAATTAGTAAGTAAACATAGCGATAGCTCAATCCATAGCTGTTATATTTTATTTATTTGATGATCGCATTAAACTTTAAAACTTAATATATTACAATATACGTCATTACATTTTGAAACAACCAAATCAAAGAGAGATTCTCGACCAACTTTTTTTGATTGATGCACGTAATATTACAAAGTAAAGTAAAGTAAGTGTATGTATAGCAATTTTTCTGACATACTTTGGGTAGGTATTGTGTTTCAGTTTTATGAACTAAAATATATTTGAAAAGAAATAAAAATAAACTCTTTTTTATAAATATAAAAATAAGAGTTATTTCTATATAGGTACTTTCACAAACAAATACAACTTAAACAGACTTTTAAATGATTTAAATCTTTGAAATAATTCAAATCGCCTTTAAACGGGGAAACAAAATGAAATACCTATAAGTACCTATTTGTTTTAATATTTTGAACATTGTTCGAACATTACAAACTTTAAAGAGTAAATATAAGTAGTATTCAAAACAATTATTAGTAAAAGTTACTTTTGGAAATGATTTTATTCAATTGTAAAGTCTTAAATATACAATTAATAAAAATGTCATTATAACCACATAATAATTGTTCAAATTTTCGTAATTTTGTCAAAATGTTAACTTAAAACACCTATAATTTTCCTCCCGATTCTAATCTTCTTTTCAACTCCCGTTTCATCCATATCATCCGTTCTCTTATCCAATTCATTCATACCGCTGGCTTTCTCATTTAACGCTAATATTTAATTATTTCATATTGTCTGTTAATTTAATTAAAATTTTTTTTTGTCTGTTTTTTGTTTTGTTACATAATTATTTTGTAATCGCTTTGCTATAATTATTTAAAAATAAAATGCAAATTAAAATTAAAAAAAAAAAAACGCCTATTAAAAACGTTTTTATATTTTTAATCTATTATAATTATAACTTATATTGTATTCGATTTTTAAGCTTTAGGCCAAGATTAAAAATGTTTATCAGCACTAAAAAAAAAAATATATATAAAATTATACATAACTATGATTTATGATATTACGATTTATTCATCGTCAAGATCAAGATTTATAATTGTCAATTTTATAAATTCTAATTTAGACAATTATCTATTGCTAATTAAATGTTCAGTTCTTCTCCACTGCTCAACAAGTTATTGCAGTTATATATTTATGCTTTATGCTCAATTTCAATTAGTTATAAGTTATTATTAAACATTTATATATCTATATTTAGTTTATAATTTATAAATTATAAAAGTTTAAGCTTTGAAATTTGAGATACTAATCTTTTTGTTAAGTTTATTTATTTAAAAATGTTATGTTTTTCCTATTTTGTAAGGCTTCAATAGATCTTAGTATTGTGCATTTATTAATAATTTTAATTGTATATGTTATACAACTCATCAATTTATTGCGATGTTTGTCAATTATAATAAGTTAGAAATAAAATATATTCAGCATTAGCCCAAACTCGGGAATAAATATTAAAGATAGTAATTATTTAATAGTATAATATAGTTAATAGTAGTAGAGAAATAGTTTGAATGTTTAGGTATTAATTGTAAAATCAAATAAGAACACCACCAATAATTATTGTACTCCTAGCTGCTATTACTATTTTTTTTTTTATATGTTCCATGTACCTACCATTTGCTTATTATTCTGAACATCTACTCGCTTTATATTATGTATAAAGACATGCAGTTCTTTTTCCTATCTAACATTAATATAAATAGTAGGTTGAAAGTTTGTAAAAAATATGCCGATAGATGAGCATAATGTAGATAGATGAATATTTTGCCCAGTAGAAATGTCTGTGACGGTTCCAAAAGTTCAAAACACTATGTATATAATATAACACATGACTCATGTTCATTTACAGGCAAAACTCTGCAGCGCAAGTGGGACCAAATATTAAACAAGTATGCTAATTTTATTAGAAAACTGAGCAACGACGATTCGTCTGAAAGGGTTTTGGAACGATTCATGAAATGGCCGTGGACGAAGCCTATGCGTATCTTTAAGCCATATGTTCGCAAACAATTGTAAGTATTGCGATACGGTACCTTACCATAATATAATATACACTGTCCTAATTTATATAATAGTAAAACTCATGTATTATTGTTTATAAAAATCAATGGGTGAAGTGTAAATGTAGAGACCAATTGTTATTCTCATTAATCTCATTCGAGTCTCATATTATGTTGCTGTAATTTGTTGAATAACAAACGCTCGAAGCCACAGTTTTAATATACTCTTCAATAGTTTAAGATATGATCTCTCTAAATATAATTTATATATGTATAGGTGTTATAAAACGTTGTTGACCTGTAGAAGTAACATTACGGATATATTACAATTACAGACGGTAACTCGCCGAAGTAAAGATATTTAATGTATTCTTCTAAATTGAGTAGATCGAAAAGTTCAGTGAAACGAAATTCTGACACAAATTCACAATGTTGAAAATATACAACATATAATACTTTGTAGGAACCGCATTGTATTTTATTAAGTTTTAGCCGGAAAACATGCTTAGGAGTGGACCAGGCACATGGAATATGTATATTTTTTAATCAATGTTTATTTCCTTAGCAACTTATTTGGGGCAGGATAATTGCAGGATAATTGCTTGCACTTTTTGCAATTTAAATTTTATTTTAAATTTTCGATCAGAAGACAGAAACGAAGTTAGTAAATAATTTTGAAGTAAGCCGATTTTTGTATATATTTTTGTTGGGATTTTACCCAAACGTTTATTCCAAACTCAACTACAAAAAAATGCAATATTATTTGTTGAGCAATTTATTTAAACGATTATTTTTAAATAAATATATCATAATATTATGGTATACAATTTTTGCGTTTCTTTTATCTTTGTTTTGACCATGGAAAAATCTGTTTCATATCGATTGGATAAAAAAACGTTCATTAAAATCATTAAAACACCGAGTTTTATTTATTAGACGGCACGAAGTTCACTTGAAAATAGTGTAATTACACGAATATAATGTACCTAATTATCAGGGTATGGATGGTTCAGGACTTATATCTATATAGCAACTTGGATCTTGCACATCCGTAACTGGAAGTAGGTAGTAGGTACTTATTAGTTATTACAACATCTTGTAAGGCGTAAACAACACATGCGGGTATGACGTCCGCGCAATACGCGTTACTAATCACAGTGAATTAAAATAAGACATTTTATTTTGCATACTTAAGAGTCTTTTTGGAAATATTAAAAATCTTGCAACGTTAAGCAGGTTAAGACTTTTAAATGTACAAAATACATTTTAAAATATGTTAAAATTGTTTTTAGCATTTACCTTATTTAAAAAAAAAAATGAAAATCGGTACATCAATATTCATTAAAAATGAAATAATCAATAATTTTGATTTACTGTTTAAAATGTGTATCTAATAACAGTCCTTAAATATATAGTTTGGTTTGATCATAGTAAAAATAACTTTTCTGCAAATTGTTTATTTAATACAATTTTCTAAATTATTTTCGAATGTTTAAAAAAATATATTATTTGGTATTGTGGCAACCAGTTTATTTGGAAATGAAAATTTTTTCTATTTTAGATCATATCCAATGCAGTTGTTTCACTTAAATATGTTTTGCGTTATAGCTTATACTTTACCTGCATTCATAAAAAATATGTGTTTGTTTTGGGATAAATGACTCATTAAAATGATAATGTTCGAATCGTTTTTCTACAGCCAAATTCCGGAATTCCGATCCGCGACACAGCTAACACCCGGCATGAATATGCCACATATCCCGATTACAGCTCTCCAGCCTATGCACATAATAAGCGGACAGTCTAACGATGACGCGACTTCTGGCTCCGAATTTCCGTTCCCGCTACCCACCGGGCAGGGGCCAGAACTGCAGGGTGCCGGTTTTGTAGGACAGCTTCCGATAGTTCAATACTCACATACGCTGCCGACATCGACAAGCTATGAAGGACTTTCAAATGCAAACTCGACGCCAGCAAATTCGAGACCTGCCGCAAACACTCAACTCACGCACCCGATACCGGAGCCTACCCTCGAGATACCACGCGTGAGTCCCGTGGATATCATGGAAATCCCGGTCATGTCCAATATTGGGTTCATGGGTCCCGAGTTCATAGTGCCAGCGTCACGATTGCCGCAGTTTTTGGAAAACTTGAACGGCATAATGTCGCCGTCATCGCCGCACCGTAGTTCTAACGACGAGGATGAAGCTTTCAATAACCAGCTGGGCAGAAGTATCACCGCCGCCATTCAAAGGATGATCGGCCGGTTCCCCAACGACGAAGTAAACAACGAAGAAGAAGAAGACGATGACGACGACAATGACGATGACAATTCAGCAGATGACGAGATTGCGACAGACGAGGAGGAGGTGTCACCGGAAGATGCTGGGCCGTCCGGTGTCAAGAAGAGACGGATGGAGTCCAGCGAAGGCAGTGAAAAAGGCGAAGAAGGTAACACAGAAGCTGACGGCGATACAAGCTGCACAGGAGATGACGAAGATGACGGTCAGTCGGACGTTCTACCTGAACTGCCACAGCCCAAGCCGGATGTCAAGAAAGGACCGGCGGATTTTAGTGCACAGGAGCACATATTTCTCGCCTGGGCCAAGACGATGAGCACATTTACGGCCAAACGACAGGCGACAATTAAGATGCAAATCAACAAAATTATGTCCGAGGCTGAATTCGAAGATTTGGATGACGAGTTTTTTGCAGGTTATTTTATTAATGTAAACTTATACACAAACAAGTTAATTATATGCCTGCCTACTTTTAACACTTACCTACCTTTAATTACCTTCGGTAAATGTATGTGTTCCTAAAAACGTCTTATTTTTACACAATTTGAAGTACCTAGGTAATTATTGCAAAACAACATATTTGAAAAAATATTATATTTTATACCTAATATTTCTTACTTTTTAAAATTTTTGCTTTTTAAAATGAAAACATACATTTATTGAAAATGTAATCGACCATTGTATGTGGTATTGAAGGACCTTATGATGGCTGCATTCGAAATATATTTTGTATGGTAGATGTAAGATTTTGAAACCAACCACAATTTTTCAAAAATAATATTAAATATTATTGCACACTAGTTAAGTATTGTAGTACAATGGGACAACAAATTAGAAAAGTTTTAAAAAACTGTGATGTTAGTTGTATGTAGCCATGTAGGTATTTTAAAATAGGCGCTTCACTTCATATAAATAGTTCCATGAAACCAAAACTAAATTATTATAAGTAGTAAGGATCAAAACATTAAGATGTAATTTATTGAAAATAAAACAAACAAATATAATAAATAATAATTAACTTCGGAGAAGTCGCTTTTTTACATAGGTAATTAGCAGATTTCAAAATGTCCTTGTGTACCTACATAACTGTAAATTATAATGTCTGTGATTTAAATTTGAAATGTTAATTCTGAATAATTAATCATTGCATACAAAAAATAATTCTGAGCTCAGGCTGTATAGTGTTACCAAACTCTTTTTCTAACGATATTTTAAAATTTATTTGGTTGCATTTGTTACTATTTTTAATAGTTTATTTTTTTATTATACCTAGTAGGTGTATGGCATGATAAACTATTTTTTTTCCAAAAACATCACATGTATATTATTATACTGAAATTCATATTATGCATAATTGTGACTAATTGTATTTTAGGATTGTTATAAGACCAACTAATGAGAAATATTGAAATTAAATACTTCAACCTCAGGCGGTAAAATTAAATTTGTATGAATTTTATAATTTACACATTTTTGTAAAAATTTGAACTTAGATGAAAAAAAAATCTTGACTACAAACCTATGTCTTTACAATATTTAAACAGTTGTAAGAATAGTTAATCTCAGACTGAATTTTGTAATGATTACATTAGACATTTTAATAATATTTTTAAACAGGTTGCTGTGTGGTTTACCTATTAATTTTTGATTTATATAAAAAAAATCAAAATTAATTTTGTCAAAACTAGTTTTGAGTAAATATTTTAGTTTATCCATACGAATATTTTTCCTACCTCTAGCTACTTTTTTTTTGTTTTTCCTGATTACATTGAAACATATCGGAAAACCCTCCACAGTACCAATACAACCAACTATATCCATTTTTCTACATGCAGAACTAGCCACCCTCGAAATTGTAGATAAAAGCATTTTTACAGCTCCTTAGATAACTCTACAATGCTACAATGGCGTTGCTGACTACTGCAGGTATTGCATCGATTCAACGATTTTCTTATGTAAACAATTTATACTTTATAGTATTGCTAGTAAGTAGGTACCTATAGAAATAGTATTAAACTATGGCCATGCAAGCTTAAGCAATTATAATTATAACCATAAGTAAATCGTACACTTTATCGAATGTCCTAAATTGCATTAGTCAAATATTACCGACCTACTATTTTAATACATATGTATAACTACCTACCTACTAGATAGCTCATGATATCTAATGTTTATTTTGCAATTTTTTTCAGCTAACAGAAAGCCCCGTCGGCCTATTTACACTTCGCGCTATTGAATAAATCGTTTGTTTAAATCCGGCTAGAGGTTTAGGCCTCAGAAGTCATTCCACGGAACTCTCTCCTAGGACATTCCGTCATCGAAGATTGAAGAGCTCCGCACTTTTCGTCGATATAAACTAATATACTATTATTATAGGGTTTACGCATTTATCGATCGCGCATTTGCGCGTGTTTTATTATAAATTGATTTTTTTATTCGTTACGTTACAATTTACTGTAGGTACCTAACAATATGTACCTAAAACAAAAAAAAATGTATAATACATTCATAATAGAAATAATATTACACGTTTGAATTAAGTTGAATTATATATGTTAGAACCAGTGCTGCAACTACCCATTTTTCATCCCAAGGACAGACAGTAATTTAGCCAACAAAGCATCCAACATCATTACCTACCTAATTCAAAATTAATACTATACTAAAATTTTTCGATGTTGTAAAATACCGCTTTGATGTCATTTTAGCAACCGGACAAGTTAAAAATATTATTATACAAGCTGCTAACATTTTGGATTAATTTATTGCAATATTGTTTTTAATAAAAAATATATCATCAAGCGAACATAATATATTATATTGCCTTATTAACATGTAAATTATAAATAATTATTTTTTGATCATATATTCATATCCCAAAAAATGGCCTTGGTTACCTGGGGAGTTGTTGCTGCCCTGGTTTATGTATTATACTCATATAGTGCTGTTGTATTGTGCTCACAAAATATACTATTGTTTGGATGATTAAGAGCTTATAAGACGACAGTACAAAAATATTCAATCATATATACAAATTATTATAACTTTTAATTATAATTACCTATGTATAATAAATATAATACTTAATATAATATTATAATTTTATTGATGTATTAGTAAATATGCGCATCGAATATTTACGTATTGTAGCTATTAGAAGTTAAATGTGCTTTTCATGTGTTGTCTTATATAATTAATTTTTAAATTGGAATGTCTAACTTTTTGAATTACAACTGTTATTACTTAATACTCATAATGGACAATTAAAAAAAATGAAAATGGGATGAGAATTTACAAGCTATTATTCTGTAAATACTTATAAGCACACTTTTGTCATTGTCACTATTTAATTAATTTATAAAAATAAATGCTAAAAGGTTAGGTAAGTACAGGGACGGGGATGATATATAAGTAAATATTTTAAAATATGTTATTTTATAAAAAATCTAGAAATTCTTTATATTAGCACTTTGCCTGTAAAATGTCAATGCAAAAATGATATTTTTAACAATTTCCAATCATTAAAAACAAATAGTGACCTTCAGAAGTAGGTCCACACATTATTGTTTTTAAAATGAAACAAAAAACATTTCAATTGCCAGAAGTAATTAAAAAGCTACACACAAAGGAAAAAGCACATGGTGAAACCAATAGCCATACATTAGCATATTAATTATGCTAAGATTCAATTATTAAAATACAATAACATTTTTTAACAAAATGCATTTACTACTACTTATAACTGAAAATCATAACAAAAATAAAAACTTCATTTAGGATCAACAAAAACGACAGTTTATATAATATTTCATAGAATTCTCAACGTTTCAGAACATTAATGAATGTATCTCGGGGAATTTCAATGTTTCCAACCATTTTCATTTTTTTTTTAGCATCCGACTGTTGTTTTAAAAGTTTCATTTTTCTTGTTATATCACCACCGCGTTTTCCACACTATAAAATAAATCAACAAATTGTTGTTAAGTGTTAATATTATTACTTATTAATATAAATAAAAATATTGTTAAAAACAGTATTTACATTAAGTGACAATATAAATTTAGTTAGAATACTTACAAAAAATAATATGTAGTTCAATAGTATGTAATGTATTAGATATTAGAATATTAGATTAATTAAATATAAGCCAATAAATATTGTTATAATGTGTGAATTTAACCAATGTCAGTATTTAATATCTTTATTTCAAATATTTAATTGTTAAATAATGAATTCTTATGTAATTTAATTATCCTTCAGTAAGTCAACAAATTTAATTTAAAAAATATAAGTAGAATAATTACTTTTTCCATAATTTATTATAACTTTAGCTTGTTATTTGTATTGAAATAATTATCAAAGAAAAAATATGTTTGGGCACTTACAAGTTTTGATGTTACATCTTTGCGATACGCTTTTAATGTTTCTCTTGCAACTATTTTTCCTTTGACTGAAGCTTGAATTGCAATCTATGTTATTTCAATTTTCAATTAGTAGATATGAATGATAAATCAGTAATTACATTTTTAATTATATTACCTGAAACATTTGTCTTGGAATCATGTCCACTAATTTCAATACCATTTTCCGCCCGAGACTTACAGCTTTACTAGCATGAACTATAGTTCCAAGTTCTTCAACAACGTTTCCATTAAGCAAAATATTTAACTAGAAAAAATATGTTAATATTTTAGTATAAAAAGTAAGAACTGACATTAGATAGTGTTCAATATTTTCAGTATTGCAATCAAAATATTGCTCATTAAATACTCTTTTGAAATGCATTTAAGTATTATTTTTAAAAAAGTATTTAAGACAAATTTTAAATACTATTTTTTGTTATGAATTAAGCATTATATGAACTCGGATGAATTTTTTTTGTCATAAGTCTCCTAATTTTAAATATACATCAAGTTTTGCTTGCAGGTATTAACAGCTAAGTATAAATAATTAACAAAAAAAAATAAAAAAAAAAAATTAAATTAAATTATTAACAGTTGTTAAGAATAATTATACAGTAGTTTATAGAAGGTTTATAGTGTGGACACATGTTTGTTATTAAATTATCTTATTATTATTATTTTATTTACTAATTAAATAATAAAGAGTTATTGTTTATTAAGTTTTACAATGAAAATAAAACAATACAAATATTATAATAACAATAATACGTTTTGACATTTACAATATTGTTACTATACTTTTTTCTGTAAACTCATCAACTAAGTTATACATTATACAAATGTTGGGGACCATTTTGCACTACATAACAAGGTTAAACTTAATGAAAATGTATTGATCATAATAATAAAACAAACTTGAATCTTTATTTGTAATAAAACCAGTTTTCACCAATAATGATGTATATTTTGGCAAAATGCTGGTGTATTGATATATTCAATTAATAGTTATCAATATGAATACATTTTTACAGTAAACGTTTTATTATTAAGATACATTTAAATTATTATGCATTATTGTATTCATTGTATCATAATATAAATGATTATTACATTTGAAACACATTATTCATAATTAGCATCAATTGTATTACCATTAGAATATTATGTGGAGATGGTTTACTTTACTAACTATTCAATATATTCAAAAATCGAGTAAAAAAATGTGTTTGAAGGAACGTATCCAATACATTAAAATAGTGTTTAAAATATACTCAAATACTTGTTGATGGATAGTATTTAATACTGTCATTAGTACGTAAAGTACTGAATATAATATGCTTATGTATTGAGTATATTATAAAATTATGTTTTTTATTTATTTATACTTTTATTAGATTTGAGAGTTCATATCCATGATCTTCATAACTAAAACTTCCAAAACCTGATGTAATTGATTTAAGTGTATCATGGAAATCTATGACAATTTCATTTAATGGGAAATAGCACTGTATCATTATTCTGGTGTTGTCAATATTAGTGGATGATTTTTGTACACCTCTTTTCTCCATACATAATGACAAGACACCTCCCAAATATTCATCTGTTAATTAAATTGTATAATTAATAAAACATTTTGCATTCATTTATTAAACAGTTAATTTTTACCAGGAGTTATGATGGTGCCAAGAATAAACGGTTCATAAAGTGCTACAGTGAAGGTTGGATCAGGAAAATCCATTGGGTTAGAAAAACAAAATTCATCACTGCCATACTTTTCAATTAATTTTTTTGACGTCACTTTAGCTGAAATATTTTAAGCATAAAAAACTAAAAAGGAAAACAATATTTTCAAATATTTGGATAAAACAAACCTTTATATGTTACACTAGGTGCTGTCATAATGGCTTGAGCATTATATTCCTGTTCCAATCTCTGATTAAATACATCTAAATGTAGCAGGCCAAGGAAACCTAATCTCCAACCAAGACCTAGTGCTGGACTGGAATAAATAAATAGGTTAGGTAAAAGTAAAAGTAAAAGAACTGTTTATTATTTGAATATGTTTGTACCTTGACTCAGTTGTAATACTAACAGCCGAATCATTGAGTGTTAATCGTTCTAAAGCACTTTTCATTTCCATGTGTAATGATTGATCCATAGGGAATAACCCAGCAAATACCATTGGTTGAGCAGGTTTAAACCCAGGGAATGGTTCAACTGGTTCATCTTTCAAATGTATAGTATCTCCAATATGAGCTTCTTTTGCTGATCTTATATTACATGTTAGAAATCCGACTTGACCACCTACTCTATAAAATTCAAAATGTTAATTTAAAATATACTTTATGAAATTTATATTCATACAATGTTCCCGTATTAAATTCTGTTGGCCGTAGTATTCCAACATTTTTTACAGTATATGTTGTTTGAGAGTACACAGTTGTTATTATATCACCTTCTTTAACACATCCATCTTGAACATAAATTAGTACTACAGCCCCACGATATTTATCAAACCAACTATCAAAAATCAAAGCTTTGAATGGTGCTCGACGATTAGCAACTGGGGGCAGTAGTCGAGTGACAATTGACTCTAATAAATCTTCTACGCCAGTCCCTTGCTTGGCTGATATCTACATACATTTTTTAATTAAAAAATAATTATTTTATAATAATTTATTGTCATATACTAAAGGTACCCTTAAAACAGTTTCTGGCTCAATATCAAACAAGACACGCAATTGTTCTTCTACTTTCTCTGGATTGGCATTTTTTAAATCTACTTTATTTAATACAGGTACAATAATTAGATTCTGGCAAAAGGCCAGGTAAAAATTAGCCACTGTCTGAGCTTGAACACCTTGGTTAGCATCCACTAAAAGTATGACACCCTGGCATGCTGATAACGATCTAGAAACTTCATTAGAAAAATCGACATGGCCTGGAGTATCGATTAAGTTTAACAGGTATAATTGTTCATCTACTCTGCTTTTATAAAATAATGAAGCAGTTTGAGCCTTCACTGTTATACCTCTTTCTTTTTCTACTTGTAACCTGCAATGAATATACACACAATAAATTATATATTTTACAACATTTACCTAATGAAGATTAATTGATTTAAAGTTGAATATATATATCATGATAAATTTGTTCAAAGAATCTTGGTTCAGTAAAAAATTATACACATTAATTGTCGTACTAATGTTTGCACAAAAAATATTACTTATCTACCTACTGTGTTATTATACTAACATTTTTTAGTTTATTATTCAAGTTATATGCTATCTTGTGTAATTTATATAGTTAAGAAAATCAGTGATAATTCTTAAATATTTAGTAAATACGTACTTAATAGTCAAAAGGTATTTTAAGCGAAATATAAATATATTAAATGATTTTTGAATTTTAAAAATATGACCATGGTCAATATCTCAAAGCACATGTTAAAAAAAAAGTATGTATTTGTATTCTGTTGGGAATTTGGGATCCAAGAATTTTAACTATTGATATTATAATTAAATTATTTAGTCATATTTATTAGATATTTTAATCATTTCAGTTTTTTCTCAGAGTATATCAATAGTACCTACTACATTCACCATTCATGTCTTCTTCAATATAAGGTTTAATTCAAATGTGATATTATAAATAAAGTTATATTTACCGATCCAGCACTTGTGCTTTGCCTTCCTCGATGCAGATGGTATTTGTCAATTCCAATAGCCGATCAGCCAATGTGCTCTTGCCATGATCTACGTGCGCTATGATGCTAAAGTTGCGAATGTTTTCACTAGGTATATTCTGATACTTGAGTGGAACTTCTGTTCTTCCTTCGTGGTTTTCAGAATAACGGCGATAACTTGTGAACACAAACGATAAACTGCTCTTGTATTCGTTCGAAATGCTGGGTCCGCAATAATATGATCTCAACACCCTAAATATCACTTTCATTTTCCTAAAATCGGATGGCCTACCCGACGAGGCAGAACAAATCCTTACAAGTTACTAGTGCCTAAGCGTTTAAGTAACCTATTATTAAGTCATAGTTAATGCGAATAATATTATAGTTATTAACTCGAGATTTCGGAAATTAAGTATCACCGACATGATACTATGATAGTGAATACATTGTGAAGATAGCGGTAAGCCAGCCGTACCATTTGCCGCTTATCACTTTCTGATAAGGCGGAGAATTGCCGGTCCGCGCGAAGGGGAAGATCTCGTCCTCTACATCGACAAGCGACTGCTTCCATTATCAACTACCTCGGTAACTTTTGTATATTTTATTTATTCTGTGGTTGTAACTTGTAGTTGAATAGAAAAATGTATGTTATCATCCAACTCCCAGTTTAATGATAACTAACTCGGCTTTGAATTTAAAATATTGCGGAAAATAACAGTAGGTACATTATTGCATTATAAACAGAAAGAGAAATACAAATACGAGACGGAATGTTTAAAATTGTGTCACGATATGATGTTTATCTTAGTGGGTACTAAGTAGTAGGTACTTAGAGAAGGGTGTTAATTAAGTATAAGTACCTACCTAAATTTAATTATATATATATATTTAGTACCGTTTATACATACTCGTGCTGAAAGTACGGTATAAAATGTTTTATTTTTTAATACAGAAAATAAAAAAATATTCATTTATTTAAATTTTTTTGGAAAAAAATTCAAATAGCCAATTTTGTAAATCTAATTTTACAAAAATATTTTGTTAAAAACATTAGTTTAAATTAAATATTTAATTTTTTTTATTTGAGTAAATTAATTTGAATATTAATAACGTTTTCCAAAATATTGTTTTTGGAAATTTTTAGACAAAGTAAATCTTCATTAATTTATGATCCAAATAACATGCATGCGTTAACCTTGTATATATTTTTCATTAAAATAATTGTAATAAAGCGATACCCATATTATAAATATTATTTTCTTATACAGTTATACTCTCTTTGCAAATTGCAAATATGGACAAGTTAATAAAAAAATTTACTTAAGTTCGTTAAAACGATAAAAATGTTTCAGCCGACTGTTTCCACGTTGATACACTGCTTCAGATTCTGATCGGAGCGATGATAATATATTAATTTTACAATATCGTTTTTTTTAAATTTTTATTTTATTTTTGAGTCTGTGTTTACTATAGGTAACTAGTCAAAATCATGCTTCAATTTTTCATTTTCGGTAAGGTTTTTGAAACTTTGAGATTTTGACTTATGTTGAGCTATTCATAATAGAAATAAGACATTTTCAATTATTATTAGTTTTTTAAAATTAATGTCAATATAAACTTTTTCACTTTGTCAAAAAACTTGAAAATGTAATACAAGGTTCCTTGTAAGTCCGTAGATCCATAATAGTTTTTATAACCAACTGAAGTTCAAATTTTGACTAAATTTGTAAGAACCACAAAAATGTACAAGCTATTTTATAGTTAAAAAATTTAAAAGGTTAAATTTGTATAGCTAAATATTGAAAATTAAAATTAAATTATTATTATCATTAATTTTATGTAAGTAGGTATAGGTTGTTCTGAAATCAAAACATTTCAAAAAATGTTTTTTTTATAGCTATTTTAAGTTCAAATTTGGACGAGATGGCATATTAAAACCAAAATCAACGATTTTAGTTATTTTGTTGTGATTTAAAAATATTATTTGTGGGTAGGACGGGTAGGTACTTGAAACTTATAGAGTACCTATATAAAATAAACACACAATTAAATGTTCAAATGCAATTCGTTCAACAATAATGAATTTAAGTATTTAACCTACTGTAGAATTAATAGTAATAATTTAAATAAAAACAGAAATTCTTAAAAATATAGATGTAGACTCTGTTACCCATTTGTGTTGGTCGAAACTTTTGCCCGCTCTGTTAAAAACTGAAATGAAGTCAATGCTGTATATACACCTATACATCATAATATCCATATGTAAACTTATATTTTTAAAGAAAGACTTATGAGCATGTGTACATTTTCCAAATTATTATTGTTATTTATAATTGGACATATTTTTTTAAAACAAAAATAATGTTATATAGTCTGACCCCACAAACCCCCCTCTCTCCTGAGTTAGACACTCAAATATTTTAATAAAACAATAAAATTCCGATTCGGAACCACCAAAAATTAAAGTACCCATAACTATTTTACATTCTATTGAGAAAAAATGTGTTGATTTTGAAAAATAAATCGATTGACAATGATGTACACGAAATTCCAATAATTTTTAGTATAAATACGCCGATAAAAACAATAACGCCGATATTTTTTTAAAGTCTACAGTTTTATTTTAATATTTTATGTACCTAATATTTTTTAAATCAAAATTATATGCTGTTAAAATAATATTATACAATGCGATAATTGTAATTGTTAATGACATAATATATGCAACATTTTATATAGTATACACTATACATATAACAATATGTTGTTCTGAATAACATAATATTTTTATACTTGAAATACTGGTACATTTGTGATATTTTTGTGTATGCAAGACAATTGTGGTTTATCGTAAAGTGCACTAGTCACCATCAAATGGAGGACCTCGGAGATCTTTATTCGCAGAAAAGAAATTTAATTTTTATATTATTATATTTTTTTATGGTAAACTAATTGTGGTTATCATTAGCTTAAATTTGGTTATTTTATTTAGCTTTTACTTTCTTCGGACAAACTTAATGTATATAATATTTGTATGATCCCAAACTAAATGAATTTCTATCGTTTCCCTTCAAAAATAATAGTATGACATGGCATACCATAATCAGCAGTGGGCTGGTTAACTGTCAATACTGATGATATATTCCTGATGCGACGATGTGAGTGTGTACCTACTTGTGTATATGTGTGTGCTTATAACTTTTAAAAATTGTTACAAAGACTTAGGCTACTTGGTAAGTTATTTTGCTATTTAATAATTAGTATTTATTATCTTAGTATTGTTTTGTGTTTCTTTGAGAAAACCATATCAATTTGAATCGATGAAATTAGATTTTTGCAATGACTTCAATTCTTTTAATACTTCCCATAATGATTTTAGCCAATGCTTTGTGTAGATCATTGTTTCATATAAATAATTTATGTGGTTGTCAAAAATGCACAGTATTACCAACGGATCGTGAATGTATTTGCTGTTCGGAAATATAAATTTTAAATAAACTACGGTGTATATATATATATATAAATATGTCATAGAAAACTCGTAGTTTTCGAAATTAATATTGGAAGAAGAAGTTATTGATAGGTATTACTCGAAAACAAATAATTAAAAAAACAATAAATAAGGGAGAAACAAAGTTATTGTACAAATCTAGTTTGGCAAAAAAACGAGACGATGTCTGTGCTACAAACTATTTGTTTTCTGGGCAAATGAATAGGAAAAGCCAAAAGGTAAACATCTATACGGAAATGTAAATTAAATTTTATTTTTCAAATTTAATAAAAGCATTTATTATATTATTTACCTGAATTAGGACATGGAGTTTTAATTCCAAAGTGTATAATAAAATAATGTATTTCGTACAAAGTATGCCGAAGAAGATAAATGCAATACGCTGGTTTCAAAAACCCGAAAATACCAAATTTAAATTACTTATAATCTGTATAGTAATTACTTATATTTTATTTACGTAAAAGACGCAATTAAAAAATCGATGCATTAAAAATAGACCCAATTAGTATGGCCCTTCAAAGAAAACTGCACGTAATTCGTATGCAGCCCATTTCAAATGTTCTAAGATTTATATATTTTATCGGTAATGATAAAAACTGTACGTTTTTTCCAGAATAAGACGAACAACCATAAACACAACACAGAGTCAGCATTTAAATTGTTGTATAGCTACTTATTGTTGCAATTTTATAACTTTTTATAAAGCATACATTTATACAACACTATACAAATAAAAGAAACGAAAAAACTAAAAAACAAACAAAAGATTTTTAAAAAACGAAACTACTTTATCAAACACGTCTTGAAAACCATTCATATAATAGTTCACGAAGGACTGTTATAAAAATTAATAAACAATCTGAAAGACTGAATTGTCATGATTGTGTGCAATATCGAAAAATAATATTCATAATATTGGTATATGGAAGTTTGAACGGGGAATATTAACGATTACATTAATAAAGTATATACTGCAGTCTATAGGCAGCGCCGTTGATATTTATTTATTTATTTATTTTATAAATTTACGCCAATCGGCTTTTTACATAGGTATAACAAAAATAACATTGTATATATTAAAACAGTAGGTAATACAGGGGATGTTGATAAGAGTGACAGAAAAAAAAATATGTTCTATTAAGGCCAAAGATCAAAATTATTATTATTCGACGAGCGCATAGCTCTAACTAAGGGATCGTTCATCAGGAAGTTGGACTATTGACTGTTGAATAGTATCATATTGTGACTGAGCAACTATAATTGTAATTTTTATAGTTCATAATATAAAAGATAAATTATCATAACATTAAATTAAATAGACAATTATGAACTTTAAAAATATCTCTACGACCCAAACCGGTGTATATATTCCGTTCATAATAATAATAATAATAATGCGTAAATAAAGTTGAAGACGTAGAAATATTTACATGTATATACGACAAATAGATTCAATGACTTCACTTGCCAACTCAAAATGCATGTATATCGCCAACGAAAAGTCTTAAACACTTTTAGTTAGGACAATTATTTTTTTGACATAGAGTACTATTTCTTTTAAATATAAAAAAAAATAATTTTTTCCTTTCGTGGTCCCTATTAATATATTAGTATATTCATAAAAAAAACCAAATCCTTGGAACGGGTAATCGGAGTGGGACAGCTAGTAGATAATAAATAAATAGATACAATAATGCTAACAAATAACAATAGGTAATAATATTGTACGTAGAGCAGAATGGTCAACCAGTAGGTATAAGAATTGCGAAATGCGAAACGATGAGTTTTCACGTGTTTGTGCTGTACGGACAAGTGTGTTTGATATGTTAGAATACATTAGTTATAGTTGTAGAAAGACCGTTTCTTCCCTAGCTGAAGCAACACCGAGTGGAAGGATCGAATATATTATAGCAGGGAGGCAAAAACGAAGATTTACCCAAATCTA